GATCCTCCTCCAAAGCGGTCATTCTCTATCACGCAAGCATCTGCACAGCGCTCGTGGGTACGTCTATAGACACGACGTCGGCCGTTTGCCCGGTAAAGCGAAAACCTGGACTCATCTGAGAACAGGACCCTTCTCCAACGTTGCACTGGGAAGCGTTTAACGGAATGTGCGTTCAGCCATTGCATTCGTCTGGCACGTCGCCGCGCATTAAGCTGTGGTCCAACATATGGCCGCCGCGGTCTTAGACCGAAGGCACGCAGTCGAGTACACGCTGTCTTTGGATCAATTGGAACATGATGACGCCCGATTGTGTTCCTTGCTGCTTCCGTGGCCGTCAGAAAGCGATTGCGTAGGTGCGAAAGTCGCATTGCCCTATCCTGCCGACGAGTCGTCACACGAGGGCGACTGCAACCCTTCCGGTGGCGTGTAGTCTTTGAATGAGACGGCAAATGTGCAATGGATGGACTCCAAATTGATTAGCGACCTGATTTTGCGGGGCACCTTGCATAAGAAGTGCAATGGTACGACCACTGTCAACTTCGGACAGTCGTAGCATTTTTTACGGTGATCTGTTTATGCTTAAGATATGGGAATTCAAGATAGATATGTCTGAAGATTCGCACACACAGATTTTGAACCAATCTTTTATACTGGGTTCGAGATATCGTGCTTTTGTCTCTTATTCTTTTGTACAAGCGGCGTGCGCAGTTTAGTTATGCATCAGTGATTTTAATACGGTACCATAGGGACCTAACTCAAATGCACACATTTGTCAAGTTTCAAGGGTGTACGTCAAGGATTTAATTTACAATATTAACTTTCTGCTAAATGCGTTTCCTTTTCCTCTCAGTATATAAATGATGATGCTAGTTTGTGGTTCATTCCTAATCTTTGCAGTCAGTACTTTATCGTACATTATGTCGGCAGTGAGGAGACAAAACCAAGAATTATACAAGTGTGTAGTAGCAGAGGACCAGCCTACTGATGGTCAATATACTGAAAACGATTACTTTTAGAAGGGTTATAATTTCCGCTAATTTCGAAAATGGAATAAAATCACAAAAATAAAAATAAAATAAATAGAAAAAAAGTTATATAGTTCGTTCCATGGCTTTCATAGAAATCTTTTTGAAGGAATATGTTTTTAGAATGTGACATATTTTTTACCATGATTTATATGGCAGGTGTCATAGATGAAGCAGAATGCGCTTACCCTTCTAGAACACATAGTCTTCGTCTCCTTGTACTTTTTTCCGAGTCTTTTTGTGGCAATAAAAAATCAATGTCAACATGTCAACATAATCATAATCCAAACTCAAATTCCATAAAACGGGCAAAATATGAACAAAAGAAAGATTTAAACGGAGCTCCCGAAAAAGTACAATGAAAGTAAGACCAGGTGTTCTGGGTGAGAAAGAGACTTTTGCTTCATCGACGACACCCGCCATGCAAACCTTGGTCAATCCAAGTAAGAAATGCCACATTCTCCAATGAACACATAAAATACAGCACTGAAACCAGCAGGCAAACCAGAGAACATCAGATAGTCCAGCTTCATATCACACAAAGAAATAGAATATTTCTCAATGAGATCACAATGGCGACCATGAAACTCCCCATAATTTTCATCAACCTTTCTTTCGTTGATAAATTTCATTTGCTTTATCGAGTTTGAGTTTGAATTAAGATTCTGTTGACAAATATTTTCTTGTTTATTTAACAGAGTCCACCACTAGACGTTGAAAGTCTTCACTCTGTATCTGTTCAGTTACAGTTCACGGGAAGAAATGGTGGCTGTGGTCGACAACTTTACGTGGTCCCGAACACAGTAGAGATTTACACTCAATTAAATGCAGATAATGACACAGATTGGTCATTGAAATTCTAATATTTTCGTAAAATGAGCATTTCAATGTATCATCACTTTATTGTCCTGAAAGGAACCAATTGTATTGTGCAAATTTATTTTGTCATATACCACACATCCCAATACTTCCTATCTAGAAGTGTCCTTTACATGTGCACATTTCTGTAAAGATCAGATATGCGTGTATGCAAAACATGGACAAGAGATCCTTAAGGGATCTTGGTGCCAACCATTGTCTGATCTTTATTTTTGGATCTTTTCTCCTCTGTTTTTACTCATAATTATAAAAAAATTTGAACATTCCTCTCAAGAAATAGCAATATTTTAAACTTTAACTACCAAATTCAAAAATTCGCCTGTCAGCCATTTAGTTTTCCTGATCTGTCCAAAAGTCAAAGAGAGACAACTAGGGAACCAGGCAATTCTACAAATGAAATTTGAAAGAGATCTATCAATTGATTCTCAAGTAGTAGTGATAACAAACATCCTTTTTAAATTCCAAGATGGCCGTTTGTCGTCCATTTTTGTCTTTCTGATCAGTCCCAAAATCAAATGGGAAAAATTATAGGGACCAAGGGAAACTTACCTATGAAATCTGAGAAAGACCCATTCAACTTCTCAAGAAATAGCGATGACAATGCTTATACAGCAAACTTGAAGATAACCTTCCATCAGACATTTTGTTTTTTGATCACTTACAAAATCAAACAGGCACCACTATGCGATAATGGGAACCTATATTCAATTTAAGAAAGATCCATCCAGTACTTCTCAAGAAAGATTGATAACCAATGAAATAATATTTGCAATAACATAGGGTGTTACTGACTTATATACAATACAATTGGTGTTAAATGTTAAGATCATCAGGGTGTATGTAAGGAATGCTGACCTAACAACAAAGTAATATTTTACACATCACATTAATTCCTGTGTTTTACCATAACAACATATACACAACAGCTTGTTGATATCATACTACAACAATGGCTGTATCATTCCATAACATTGAATGTCCATGTGTTTTATAGTGACATTTAGTTGTAAGTGGACCAATACCGAGTGACAAAGCCCTCCATTCACTTAATATGAGATATAATTTAGATAATATTGATGTGTTTACATTAGAGTACTTGCAATAGTCTTACATGTTGATAGTTCTTGTGCTGCTAAACATAACTGTTTTTGGTAATAAAAACCTCCAAGCAATTATCACTGGTAAATAATAAATAAATATAAACTTTATTTATTTTACAACAATTGCGAAACAACTTATGTCAACTTATCCTAATCACTCTTGTTGGCCTGGATGTAAGTGCGCCAGGAGTCTTATTGTGGGAGGAAATCGGAGAACCCGGGGAAAACCCACGTGGTCGGGCAGGTGACTTACCTTTTCACGTCCTTTCCTGGAATCGAACCCCGGTCGGCTAGGTGAAAGGTGAGTGCGTTACCACTGCACCACCTTACCACCCTGGTTCTGATTATCAAAAACCAATAATAAAACCACGGAATCCAGATGATGATGCTCCATCTTTTATGTCCTCTGACTTTAACAAAGTTATAGTATAACGTTGATCTGTTTCCCTGTATGGGTATCTGTGGCTGGAAGATTAAGCACTTCTGCTTAATTAATAATGCTATGAAAATCTGGATAAATCCAAAAAATGTCAAATTTCAAAGTTAGGCCCACATCAAAAACAAGTTAACTACAGTGCATAATAATTAGCATGGAGCTAATATGAATATAGTCCACACAAGGAAGTAGAATATTTCCCATTGAGATCGTGATGGTGACCATCACACTTTTCTGTAGTCTTCATCAATCTCTTACAACACTCTGTTGTATGCTTTCCCATCAGCTCTCCACATACAATGTATCTATTGGGAAATCATGATATTGATTATGATATTGTGAGAACTGTAACACCTAAACAACAAAGGTTGTGGAAGTAGGAATACTACTGACTAGAAACAAGAATTTACAATAGAGAAATTAATAAAACAAAGGCACTGATTTGTCTAAAATTTTATTTTTACATAGTACATATAATATACATTCACAGACAAGTTGATACATTATGAAGAAAAACTTTACAGGCCATGTGACAAACAGACATATTAAAATCTACACAAGTAATCTCTTAGAATTACTACCAGTATGACAAGCATCACATGACACAATTTCAAGTCTAAATATTTAGAGCTTTTTGTATATTTCAAATTAAACCAAAATATCATAGCAAATGATATTTCAATTTTTACACGAAATTTCTGAATACTCATTCCCTTAAAACCTATTTACTTCATTACTGATTATAAACAGTTAAAATGCAATGTCTACCTTATGGACCAAATAGTTTTCAAATGTTTTCAATTAAGCTAAAAAACCAAATGTTCACATCATGTAACATTTACAAATCAACAGTCTAAGACTGGTAATAAACATTATTGTGATTGGTTTGATCTGAGGACATCAGTCTAATCACTGACATCACAGCTCTTCCCTAACAATTTTCATGTTTAAAAGTTACAATTAAAAAAATTAAAAATGGAATTATAAATGCTGATGTATTTTGACAACATCAAATAAATGAGAACATATTTTCAGGGTAGTTTTAAAATTTGAACGACAACTGATCCTATAGTGCTACAGTGATATAACCTGTGGACACTTTTCCCAACAAAATACAACTTTCAAAAAATTATTGTCTTTTGAACACTTTATAGGAACAATGAAATATCTTGATAGTCAGCACTCTGGATCCTGTATAAAGCAGAACCTCTTTTATAAGGAATCTTTTTCATCAGAACAATTTGTAAACTGAACTTCTTTCAATAGGACAATTTGTAAACTGAACCTGTTTTGTCAGGATAATTTGTAAACTGAAGAACCGCTTTCGTTAGTACAATTTGTAAACTGAAGAACCGCTTTCGTTAGTACAATTTATAAACTGAAGAACCGCTTTCGTTAGTACAATTTGTAAACTGAAGAACCGCTTTCGTTAGTACAATTTGTAAACTGAAGAACCTCTTTCAATAGGACAATTTGTAAACTGAAGAACTTCTTTCAATAGGACAATTTGTAAACTGAAGAACCGCTTTCGTTAGGACAATTTGTAAACTGAAGAACTGAAGAACCGCTTTCGTTAGGACAATTTGTAAACTGAAGAACTTCTTTCAATAGGACAATTTGTAAACTGAAGAACCGCTTTCGTTAGTACAATTTGTAAACTGAAGAACCGCTTTTGTTAGGACAATTTGTAAACTGAAGAACCGCTTTCGTTAGTACAATTTGTAAACTGAAGAACCGCTTTCGTTAGGACAATTTGTAAACTGAAGAACCGCTTTCGTTAGTACAATTTGTAAACTGAAGAACCGCTTTCGTTAGTAAAATTTGTAAACTGAAGAACCGCTTTCGTTAGTACAATTTGCATACAGCATAACCTCCGGACTATTCCACTCTTTTGTTTATCATATTCTATTTTCGGTATAATGCAGAGCAGCTTTATTCCAGATACTTTCTATTGATAGAGATTCCCTTCAGCCAAATTAAGTATTTGCTCCTATTCCATCTGTTTCAGAATAGTCAAACACATGTACTTGTATATAAATATACACAGATCTTCAATTGAACGTTTACTACTTGCAGATGTGGGATGAGATGTACTGATGATTTCAAAACATCTAATGAAGTTGACAAAATGAAAGATTCTGGTATGATGAATTACTTTACATACTTTTCCATGAATTTTTTATGGAATTCTGAACGTAAAGTGTCATTGATAAAAAGTCCTTTCTTCTTGTCTTCTTCAGCTTTGGCACAGTTCTTAAACACCACATCATCATCCCATCTAAAATATCAAAATAAAAATTAACAAATGCATCCTGTACCAGATTCTGAATTTCATTGGACCTTTTCTCTTTTACATCCTTTTACAATACTTTACATCATTAATTTTTTTACAATTACATAACCCTGTTATAACATAATGAGGGAGATGAATTTGTGTATAATGGTATATGAGCAAAAATAACATGGGGCAAAAATATCCTGGTACAATGCACTATTTTTTTTCATTTGTTGAAAAATCTACTTTTCAATCTTTTTCAATTTTGGGAGATTTGGGAATCCTTATCATGATATATGGAATGACATATAAAAATGACATGTAAAATTAACTGTTGTCAAACGACAATATACATGTAATTTGGATTTGCTTGTTTCTACAGGATGTACAAATACAACTGGTGAGCCTAAATTTTCATAATTATCTTATCAAATGTTTAAAAAATGCAGCAGCAGAATCACTGCAATTTAAAGGTTTTGAAATAACTTTTAGTATTGTGCTTTCATAAGAATGACTAATAACACAAAAAACCTACCTTCTCTTGACTTTAAAGTCTGCAGCTGCCTTAGCTTCAGCCTGGTTCATAAGAGGGTTTCCTTTGAGAATGTTCTCTGTTCGGATTCTCTCCTCTTCAACTTTCTTTTCAGCATCCTGTAATCAGTTTTGAAAAATAAATTTTGTGGGAATAAGCTTAAGTCTTCATCAAAATACATGACAGTTCAATATTGTTTAACACACTAAAATTATAACATTTAATATGCTATGTTTAAGAACTTTATTCAGTAGAGAAAAAATTCAATACTTCTAACACAATTAGAAATCTTCAATTAAAAAATAGAATCTAGCAATAGATACATTTGATGTTATGATAATTCATATTTCCTCAAAAATATCACAAATGATCATGAATCTATGGGACTAAATTACTTAAATACAAAGTTAAAATATTCTTTAATGTAAGCATTATGGAGCACCAATCTCACAATGTAACACTGTATTACTTACTAATCGCACTCTCTCATTGGCCCGTTCCTTTTTTATCTTCTGAAGTTCTGCCATCAATTCTGCAGTGTCATCCTCATCAGAAGAGGAGTCGTCATCATCCTGAAGTAACATGTCACATATATGTACTACTATACTACAGTATAATCAGGTGGACAATACACAATCTTTGACTTCTTGATTAACCAGACCACTTATTCCTAGCTGGATTATGAGTTATCAGACTGCCAAGTTATGTCAACCACCAATCTAACCAGAGTTATCTCCCTGGATTATATGGCAAAATAGTAGTTGTTCTATACACTATTTACTGTAAACACAGGTATTTGTAAATGTTTGTTTCCATTATCTAATCATATTTTACTTTCATAAATAAAAGTAACTGCATTACAATCACCAGTATGAAAGTTGCAATTCATTAGTCCAAAATCACAGACATTATTGACCTGAATCTCTTATTATCTTTAACAGTCCACGCTTCTTTCCTATCTTTAAGAATCAGGTGAATTGGCAACAACAATCATGTGAACACACAGCAGACTCTTTGATTAAACACTAAAATTTAATTTTGCATCATATGTATGAGAAAACTGATCTCCATGCCTTGATTTTCCTTAATAAATATATGGATGTATCGAGAGTCCCCATCATTATTAATAAAAATTCACTTTCAATTTTTATGTTTTATATCAAATATTAATCACATTTTGAAAACAAAACCAGAATAACACTTGATCTATTTTCTAAAGGGTAATATTCAATTGCAACAAGTCCAGGGTACAAAAGAGTATATTTATTACAATCTGTCTACTGGTTTCGCCCGAACATGTGGGCTTCTTCAGGACCTATTTTCTTTACAATTACATATTAATTATATAAGTACCATTAACTCTGACACAGGTTCAACAGATAAATGCCCTGGTGATAATGTGGCAACAGTCGCTATGACTACATACAATATCTATTCGTATGCTCTACACCTTTGGCACACTTGACTATGGCAGGAATAATAGTGTGAAAAGTCTATTTTGCTCCCAAAAAGTATTTCTGGTACAGGAATTCAAATTTCTGGACTGGTGAAGTAATGAATAAAAATTAACATTACAAAAAATTGTTCCCCAATATATCCACCAAACTGCCAAGTTTTAAAAAAAATATCAGTGCCCACATTATCAAAGATAAACTGTATATATTCTTAATCTACAAGAAGGACAAAGGTATACAATAGCACAAGTCTATTTTTAATTTGAATTGGAAACACTGCTGCAAGGAACATACAGTGCAAATCCACCACCACCAGCCATTCAGCAGTCTCAAAACAATGGATTCATTTACTAAAATTATGAATGTAAAGTGGAAAATAATATTGTTTTCTGAAAAACATTATTTCAACTGCACATATTTAGTATTCAAAAGAACCTTTATGTAATTGAATGTGTTATTCAGTACTTACAGTAGCTCTACAATACAATCATTCTTGCAGATTTTCATTTTATAGAGAAAACATAGTTAGTGTCATAAGAAATAAGTGATACACTGATAATGCATCTATTTATCCTGCATCATTCCCTGTAAACTTAAATTTAGACCATATAAATAACAACAAGTGGTTGTTGTTTCCATAGATGTATGACAAAATAATGGCTTTGACCAAAAATACAGTTTCAAACTTCAATGTATATACATTGCACAATACAACAAACAAAATCAATTAACAGCTTTTCACATTCTTAATTAAGTACATGTATTTAAGCCATTCAAAAAGTGGTAGATAACAGGTGCATTCCTATAATAGCAGCATCAGTTGCAGGATAAATATGTACTAAGTATACCACCACTATCTTTATTTCATATTCTCTCTCTCTCTTCTAACATGTACATACATCGTCATCAATGGGGTCATCTGCGTCCAAGTTGGCAGCTGGAATCTGTTCCAAACGAGGGCGCTTACTACTGCTGCTGCCTGATTCTGTAACACAGTAAAACATTCATGATTACACCTTTAATACTAAAGTTGCTATTTTGAACCAAAAACACATTGATGAAATCATTTCATTTTTATCTAATTGTCAAAGGTAGATAATTCAATAGTTCTTCAGGAGAAACTGAAAGATTCTTAGTTACTATCCTTCAATGAATGTTATCTTTTCCAATGAAAAAAACAGTAACTTAAAGTGCAGATGTTTCAAGGATGGACAATTCCTCATTTAATCAAAATTTAAATAATAGGTTTTAGGGTAACTTACCCCTATTTCTGTCTCGTTTGTCACGTACTGCCCTCTCACGATCTTCAAGATCACGACGGAAATCACGTCCTCTCAGCTCATCAACAGTTCCCTGTCCTTCCTGTCTGTAATCATCATAATTTAAAAAATAGTATTGAAAATATTTTACACATGAAAATTCATAGAAACCAATGCTTGTCATGAATGAATACCAATAAATGTAGGCTATTGTTTGTGTTGATAATTTTTATCTCAAGAATTATCATTCCTTTGTTTACAATCTAGGAATCCTTGTATAAGCTAACCATAAGGCCAGGAATTAGACAGGGTGAACAGATCAATTTGAGTATCATTTGAAAAGTCTACGATAGTATCCATGTATAATGAAAACAATTTGGGTCCTAAACACTGCAGCAAGACTCTCTTTCAATTCTTGTCATTCTAATATTATACATAGAATCCTTTGATCAAAGCTCTGATATTGAAAAAAGTTGTGATAAAAAGATATTCACAAACAGGTGTGTGATCACAGGTTTTCAGTTTTAAAGTTATTATTAGATATTTTACTGAAAGGGTTGCAGTTGTCTCTGATAGGGTTGTGAGCATAGATCTTAGTTTTAAAGTTATTATCAGATATTTTACTGAAAGGGTTGCAGTTGTCTCTGATAGGGTTGTGAGCACAGATTGTCACTAGAGGGTTGTGATCACAACAATCAGTACCACTTTCCACTTACATGATATTCAAGACAACATTCAGCAACAGTCTGATTCTGTTAAGATCTTTTTTGTTTTGTAACTATATTTTTTTCTTGTTACGTTATGTAAATATACATGTATTTAACTTCATTCAAGGCCATTTTCTTATACACAGTGTAATTAACCTTCCCCCTCAAAAAAAAAAAAAAAATATATATATATATATATATATGCATAAAAGATAAGCTTTGGATTGTATCATAATATCTAATTTTGTTTAGTATCTGTACAACTGACTGTAATATCTTAACTTTCTCTCTTATAAAGCCATGTACTAGTATCTCTTACCTGTACTTCAGCTTGGTATGTGAAGGCAAGTCCCTGCTGGAGTACTGTTTGGAAAGGGCACTAAGATCACCTTCATTCTTCCCTCTGCCACCACGGGCAGGCTCAAATGTTGGGCGTGCCGCAGTTGTCATCTTTCAATTTGTGAGTAAAGTTCAGCAAACCAAACTCACTGTAGAATATTGATGAGGATTCAATTAATTCAAAATTTAAAAAAATGATAAGATGTATTTAGTTCTTGTTATCATATAACATTCAATTTGAGTGGGTCATTAATCATGTAATAACTTTATTCTGAGTTTATTTCTCTCACAGGATAAAGTCAGTTATGACTACACATTACATCATTTTATCATGCAGGTGCTAGGACATCAGATTTAACTACATATACAAATCTGACAATATAGATATAATTTAAATGCAAATAAACAAGTTGAAAAATGGTTGACTTCTCAGGTTAAGCAGTGCATGGAAGAAGTATTTGCCTATGTACACTATTTCAGATGATCTTTTCTTAAACTTTCGTTGTTTTTTAGTCTACATAAGTACATTAGTACTCCTTATCTAGTATAAAACTATAGTGGGTTATTACAATATGGCACCATTCACCTATTGTGTTATCTGCAGAAGCATCCCTTTAAAGCAGATTCCTGCCACAGGCATGCTAATTATGATAATGAAATAAGAAAATTTCATTACCATCAGAACATGGAGATAAAGGGATGCAAGAACCAAATTAATACTTCAACAAAAAAATATCATCAAACTCTGTCTTTTCGAAAATGGTATTTGAATAGGCTATGACAAGAACCTTTATTTCAGTGACTTGCTCCCCTTTTCTTGACATTTACATGATTATCATGGTCAAGTATGGCCCATTTGTTTACTTTTGATCTGTAAACCTATAATTAGATTTCACCATTAGGCAAATCTGCATATATAGCCTCTTCTATCAATACAGTAGTGTATTGAAGAGGTTGATATATCATCAGACTGGTAAGGGTGCATTGTATGTCCAACACATCCTATCTTGACCACTAAACACAGACACATTAGTGTACAATAATCATATAAAATGCTTTATACAAATAACCACACTAATATTGCATTCCTCATAAACCGAACAAGGCATGCCTGTTATAAATTATGTGCGTAAAAAGGAAATTCGAATATGTGTTGTCTAATTTATTTACAATTCAATCACCATAAACTATACTGAGTAACCCAATGGATAGCCACAGTAAAAGCAAAGGTAAGTGAACCTATTTCAGCATGTGCTTTGGTTTGCAAATGTAGTTTACTGTATACAAAAATCATCGTGTGAATGAGTATAAAATGCCCGCTTATAAAAAAACACACTACTTTATGACCAGCCTATACACCAAAGTGTCTGAGTTCAGAGGATTTTTTCCTCTGTAAATTAAAGAGTGGACGCGATGTTCCCAACCTGTTGAGAGCTGTAATCAGTACATTTCAAAGATATTCTGGGGAAACGACAACATCTTGGAATCAATTATGAAATGATATTTGGCCTCAATTTATCAAGTACACGTAGTGCTAGTGTTAAGAAATTATGTCTGAAAATAGTAAACATACCCGACACAAGACGCACGTATACACAATGTTTCTGTTCCAGTAATTTGACCGGAAATTGAAATATGGTCTCAAACATTCAACCAAACTAAAAAATGAACGAATGCGATACCTAAGTAAACAAGAGTGGTTAAAGTATATAAATTATTCCATAAAATCAGAAAAGCTATGACAGATATACAAATTTTGCTCTAAACTGTTTAATAATCTAATCAACGGTTTAGAGAGTATTGTAATCACTAACAAACAAAACAGAACAGTAAGACAGCGTTTTTGCTTTCCGGAAAATTTGAAGCATATTACTTTGTAATAATAAAACACTTGAAAGAGTATAGGGAGAGAGATTAAAATGATATTATTGATGTGATGTCGATGGCGAAGTCAATATTTGTAGTTGTGGTGGCGATGGTGGTGACGGTAGTAGTGGTTGTAGTGAAGATGTTGGCGGCGGCGATGTTGGTGGTAATATTGGTGAACGGTGTCGTGTGTGGTGGGGAGTGGAAATTGTAGTGATAATGATAGTGGTTAAGTGTGGTGATGAGATTTAAATTCAAACATCCCGTCTCATATTAATCTTCAGATGGCATCAACAGAAACCCGTGTACATATATATGTTCTGTACGAAATCTAAATTAGAAAGCTTTTGTGTTTTTCTTAATTCTGCAATATCAAATTCGCCCGTGAAGATATGTATACACATTGCATACCTTGAACCATTGACAGAAATTTGGGGCAAAACGTCGATATTAGATTTGACAATTACAGACAAATATTAAACAAGTATAACATAGTGTAGAGCCTCAGAAGTCTGTTTGTTCTACGCTCTTTAGGATTTGTTTTTCATTTTCTTTTTTGTTTTGTTGTTGTCTTTATTTCATTTCAATTTTTAATTTTGTGTTTTCATCTTTGTTTTATTTTCGTATTTTCATTTTTGTTTTGTTTATTTGTTTTGTTTTCGTTTTTTCCTTTTGCTTTAGAATATTGCTTTGTTTTAAAAATACTATAAATATTTCTTTGCAAGATCAACTCCAAGTACGCGGTACAACATTCCCCCGTTACTTTTCTATAAAAAAAAATGCTTGAACATTCCGACTGATGTACAGGAGGAAATGCACAAAGTCTGTTATCAATATTATCAAATCTTTACTTTAATTAACGTGTCAATCAATCTTGTAATCAATTTCTACTATATGATTACAGAATTGTAGATATGATTGGCAGCATAAATCGATATCCAGATGAAATTTTGAAAAAAAAAGTTTAACTAATATGTTAGGGTAGAAATATATTTAAATACAAAGGAAACGATATAAATACGAAAAAAGATAACAAAGTAGACTTTCCTCCGGTTCCCAGTTCAACTGCTGTTCTGATATAGAGAACAAGACATCAGAAGCCATACAAATTCCATCGCTCGCATTTATAATGAAGTTGTGTTACATCTAAGATTTTCTATAAGTAGTTACGTTGACCTTAACATTGACACTACTACACTGACACACAAACTCGTTCATAGTATTATGATACATGTCCATTATGTGAAGTTTGATTAAAAATGGTTGAGAAATGAAGTTGCTAGAGTGATGACAAAAATTGAAAATGCGTAGGTACAGAACATTGACATATTGACTGGTATTAGAATATATGATAAAAACATTTTTAAATAAAAAAGAACACATAAACCCTTTTAATTTCTCACGGTGCCTTATCAAGCATTTTTCTCATTGAGGTTCCCCCAACATATAGGGATGGAAAGTCGTAGTTTAAGGGTTATTAATTTTACAAAAGCATGAAGGAGAAGAGCAGTTCAGGATTTTTAAAAAATGAAAAATATACCGACATGTTAATCTTAATTTAATTACAAGTCCGACAAAATGACGTAAAATAAGAATGAAAGAAAGATTTTCACGGAAACATCCGAGAAAAGACCAACTGTTTCGGAAGAGTAAGCGTTTTCTGCTTCATTGACGACATCCGCCAATTGAATTTGGTCAATCCAATTAAGTAATGCCATGTTAACAAATTATAACATAGTAAACAGCAACGGAACCATTGGGCAAACTAGCGGGCATAAAACACGTCACACTTCACATCTCTCGGAGAAGAGGAATGTTTCTCAACGAGATAATCAAGACGATCGAAAAACATTCCCGTAGCCTCCATAGCTTTAGTTACCCCAGAGAATATTCACGAATTAAACCATATTCGTTATTGTAGGACTCGTCAGTGAAGCTAAGGACGAGATTTTGGAACCTTCCATGCAATAACAATACATCTAGAGGACCAGACAGGAATGCACCGTATCTTGTCGGTACGTGTATGTATGTAACCGTGCAAAGTGTCAAAATGGGGAAGTTAGGTAAAAAAAATATCTTAAATCATATGTAGGATACGATTAAGAAAATTGGTCGAAAAAATTCAAAATGTATACAGGCAAGTGCACTAGTCATTAAATGCGAGAGCTTTCGTGATTTTCAAATATCGGATAATTTTTTTAAAAACCAGTAAAGTGATATACCTGTGTATAGAAATAAAACGTGGTGTGCAGTTTATTAAGACAATAATTTATATGATAATTGAACTAAAAATGAATCTGATTATTGATATCGGAATGCATATGTTAAATCTCTGCCTTGTAACTTCTTCTGGGCAAAATTCATTTTTTAGAATTATAACATTTTTGCGTGTTTGCTAGTCTTAGGTCTTGATAACTTAAATTTAAAAAAAATCTTAATAGTATAAGTAATATCAGATAGTAATAACAACACGGCACTGTGTATCTTGTTGTTGGTCGTAGAAACATCCATGCTCTTTGCTTTACATGTTCTTTGAATTTTGTTAACGTCAACACAAAACATTTCTCATGTAGGATGTGCGCTGTTGCTTCACAGTACCCAATCCGGATCTCCAGTTCCGTTCCCGGTATTTGCTCCGCCCATTGGTTGACTACTGAAAATGTCAATAAGCCTCGGTCATGTCGGTGTACTCGAGGTTTGTGTATCGGAGCTAGCACAACAAAATGCCTTCTCCGTGTGTGTACCTCGGATCTATAATCTTTTTAGGATTAATGACATGTCCGGCTGCACATTTCAACATGTATCTTGATTCGGCGGAAACGTTTAGGCTTCTAGGTAAGTTGTAAACACAATTTTGCTGCAGAAGCAAACAGAATGTCGGGCATTTTGTTTCAGATGTGGTTATGTACGTGTAGAAGTATTGTTTTGCCAGTTTTCTGATGCTGTTGGGCACTAAGAGAGCAGAATTATCTAAACAGCGTTATGGGATTAGTTGGTGACGATAGTTTGTGTACAGATCTGTGTGTGTTTGATTTAAAAACCCGCTAATGTTGTCGATTTTCATGGAACGGCAATACACATCATGTGTATTGCCCCAGATTTTTCAAGACAGCGAAAGTTTCTTGCCTATTAGTCACCCCTAGAGAGACCCATAAATATTTTGTTCTTCTTTCTTCTAGTTCCTAGTTGATAATAACATTATAAATATTAAACTTAACTGCCAAAAACAATCACAATGTCTAGATAAACTTAGTTTATGTACTGTAGAGATGCAATTTAACACACTGCAGATACACGTGTGCACACATACTTCAACACACGTGGTGTGTATGTTGTCACACTCTCGTACCTTATTAGCATAAATAAAAATATTTTTAATTGTGTCAGTTACGTGAGAACTAATTTAAACTTAGTGTTTATTTTTATTGTATTGTAATTAATCTTTGTTCTTAATTAGCAACCTAGTAAAATCTCTATTACAGAAGGCCTACATGTATATAATACATTTTATATTAAGCATCATATCACTCACATGAAATCTTTGATAGGGCTGAGTAAGATGCCCAAAGTGCCAACAAGTTTATGTCATGCAGCAATTGTAGTGATTATACACGTTACCTGTAAATTAGCTAGAAAAATGTTGTGATTTGTGAATAATCTTCTTAATACTCAATTACGCAATATTTATTGGCACAGTATGCATCTGCTAAAACCAAACTGACATAACATTAATCTGTCGAAGGTTGTTTAGAGCATTTTATGTTTTACATTTGTGAGTACAACATACACCGTAACATGTCGCAACATTTTTACTCAATACTGTATTGTGCATATAACTAAAGGTATGCCCCTCATTATTGTCTGTTTAAAGAAGACACTGTGGAGGCCTATCCTGTTCTTTTATCAGCTATACAAATAGTATTGGCTCCTGAATAAAATTGACGATGTTTAAGATCTTTATTGTTGTGTCACCTTGATTGTTAAAGTACGTCCGTATTATGTTGTTACAATTTCTGGTTATTATCCTTTTGGGAACTGGATTGTACTTGTACAGTATGTCACGTTACCTCAAGTGCTTAGTTCATTCTCAGCTTCTGAATGAAGCCCACTCTGAGGCAAGAAAAGGCTATACACCCAGATTTTGTTAATTGTGTCTTTAAAAATGCATTTTTAGATTGAACTAGTCTAGTATTGTATCTTATTTATGTAAATAAAAAAATCATTCGAAGGAATCTTAGGCTTTTATAAATTAAAGGGGCATTTAAGATCCAATGTGTTGGAAAATGTGTTTCTTTCTTGATTTTTATGAAATTATGACTTTTTTTCAAAGCCTATAAAAAATTCAATACTCCAGTCCTTGTGTGTTTAGGTAAAATTTGTAATAGAGTAATTACTTCTGGAGTGAGAGGACCTACATGTATTGTAGAAAAAAACCCTCCAATTTAAAATGATCAAGTTGTCAAAATAATTGCCATTATGATGAATTACTTCCTTTGAAAAAAAATGATAATAAAAGTACAAGGAGTTAAAGACCTATTGAAAAAAATTGACACTTTTAATCCATGGAACAAATAGTCCATAGCAAATCCTACATAGAGAAGGTCGATTATGCAGTCCCCTGACCTTAAATTGAGATCTATGATATCTAAATTACTGTAATACAGAGATACGGATGCATATATTACACCCGTCAATGTGTAGGTGGACAATGGTTTTGATGTTACACTGTAGAGAAAATTGTGTCGACTGGCGTCAGTTTTTTTTTTCCATTCCATATTTGTTTGATGTACATAGATATTAATATGAGAAATGTAGATGGGAGGTATCATAATTAAAAAGAAAAAAATGTTTATGCTAGATATATGGAAAATGAATTGAAAACATGGATTTAAACCTGACAGTTATCTTATTTTCTTGTCTTATTTAAAGATGTAACATTTTATCATGCATTAAACTTTTGCTTGGTAATTTGGCCACCCATGTCTAGTTAAATTCTTCAGAATGTTATAACATTGTCACAGCAATCTCAATTTTATTCAATTTCAGTCAGTATTTATATAAATGTATTATAAATTTTTGGTAAATATGATGTAGCATATTTAATGAAATGCTAGTTTACTGACCTCAGGAATTTTTGGGACAAAAATATTTTAGTCCCGGACTCCTGCTGTTTGAGTATAACTCTCTCAACTTTTGAGAATCCATTGTATCTCTTTAGTATTGGGACTCCTCAAAATTTTAAAACTAGCATTTTGGACTTGTCTGAAGAAATTGCCAAAAATTAGTGAACCTGCAATTATTAACCAAAAAGTGCTTGAGTCCCTAAACTTTGAATTAGATTGTGTTCTTGACCTCTGGGTTTAACAGGATAACTACAATGGTGTGTGTGTACAACAAGATATGATTGACCTTTTCATGAAAAAAAATTGGAGTAATTATGATTAGATTCCTGGAGGGTTGATTTGGTTTTGTGTTGAAAATGATTTATTACTGGTTAATTTTAGTGGTAACGGTTCTGTTAGTACCAAGTACTTATAGAAATATTATCTGTATAGCATTGTGCCTGTATGGTGAGGGGAAATAATTGTAAAGTGCTTCTTTCAGTGTAGATTTATACACAATATTTTTTGCAACCCCTACACTACTTCACAGTCTCAAAGATAATATATATGAAAACTTTATTCAATGGTAACATACTCAAATCACTGGTGCTTTTTGCTTATCTAACATACTCAAATCTTCGGTGCCTTTTGCTAATCTAAAATACTAAAAAGTGATTTGTTTAAATTTTACTGAAAAAAAAAAAGAAAAATTTATGTTACTTTATGTATAGGAAATCTTAGTTATAACAGTCTTTACTCTACTTCGGTATAGAAGCTAACAAGGTTTTTGAACAATATATGTATAACATTCATACTTGACAAAGTCGTGGTAATTATATTACTACAGATCATTAGTTAGCTTTTGTTTATATCCAATGAATTATTCTTCTAGTTTTGATAAAAATCTGTTAATTGGTTTAAAATATTTAAACAGAAAAATCCTGGCGATCTTGTCAACAGATACATGGACAATGTATACTACATACTATACACTGTGTTTTTGTTTGATCACTCTGTGGAGCAAGATTGTATGATTTAATTTGTTGAGAATACTATGAGCTTTGTTTTTTTTTGTACATATGGTGTAGATCACGTTACACATGTACACATAGATAAGAAATTTATTAAGAAGGCGTAATTATTTCATAGGAGGTGTGAAGTTTAAGTATATAAACTCTGTGGAAGTTGTAATTTTCTTTTAAGATTTTAAAATTTGTGATAGAAAGAGTTGATAATCTGATGTGGAAATCATAGGAACTGCATGACATCACTCAGCAGAATAATTTTTATGTTTCTGAATGGTCATGTGACTTTATGTCTAGAAATGTGGATTGGTACAGCTTTGTGCACCTATGTCCACCATAAATGTGTTTAAGTAAATTGTTCAGAGCTGAATCACATGTATCACAGAATGTGGATGGCTATTTCCTGTCTATTTCTCAAATTCACCTAAAAATACATTTTTTACCCCCAAAATATCACTTTTCTGATTCAGGTACGATGGAAAACTTCTGTGTAATAAATTACGATTAACAGCAAAAACATTTTTGAATGAATATTACAAGATATTATAGTAATTTATCAAGAGTTGAACTTTTTTATCGCAATATGTGTACCGTATTTTCTGAATTACAAGCCATGGTTTTTTCATAGGTAGTTGAGTGTTCAGATTATATACCAGTGCGGTTTATATGCAGATGAAAAAAAATTTGGCTGTATGAAAAGGAAATGAAGGGCATCGGTTCCAGACCGTTATTTATTTTGGAACAGCCATTTTGTTAAAGTGTATCACATGCACTGTTGACCTGCGTGACCCCGCACCCTGATAATTTTTGTTGCTGTTAAATGTCACATTTCCAGGAATAATAATAGAAATCAGTTTGTTGATTTAAACAAACGATACCAGTACACCTGTACAAGACCCCGATACCCAGTTTTCTAAGAGTACCTGTCCATCATGTGTTTGTGACTGAAACAGATCATCTAGAACCGTCATTTGCAAATGTATACAGGATGATTTAAGATTGAAATTAAAATCACATGCTTATGGATTTAACTAATAATACATTTAAATATGAATCACAACAATATCTTCTTAACTTTCACGTTTGCTTCAGGAGTAATAGTGGAAGAGCACAATAGCCTGTTGCAACCTCGGATCGATAGGTCATCAGGTCAAATTTGACCACCATGCTTGTTTATGATAAAAATGGCTTCATGTGACTTACAAGAAATAATATGGTGCTATAAGAATTATATCCACATGCAAGGACCTTTGCTAATATCTAACCGTTAGAAACGGTGTGACTTATATTTCTGTGTGCTTAATATGTAGATCAAATCAAAAAATGGATGAAAATTGGTTGTGCTGCTTACATATCGGTGACGTTTCTAACCTGGAAAATACAGTATGTATACAGTACAGTAAAGAAAGTATGAGGAATATTGTGATGTCCATCTATGTATACTGTAGTGTTTAAACTTAGTTTGTAATGGAATTTCTCACACTTTCTCAGCAAAAAATCCCAGTTACATTAAAATACCAAACTGATAGGTCCATTTCTCAGCGTTCTTGTTTACCATAAAATCAGGAAGATTGTGTAAATTATGGATATGTTTAGGTGTCCATTTGTTTAATTGTGAACCTACTTGTAATATCTTAAGGTTTGCTCAGAGCTTGGCTTATAGTAATACTTTTTTAACCACCAATCTCACTTTGTAAACTCAAAACTT